CTCTAAACCGCAAACTTCTTTTTGTGAACCCCAAACTTGGACTCCAAGCCCCCGGACCTTAAACCCTATGAGAGCGTATAGACGTTGTTTCTTTGAGCATGCTAGAGCCCCATGCGCAGAATCCGAGGCTTGAAGCAGGACAAGCCGATGCGCAATCTGTCCCTTGGCACGATCAAAGCAGAGGCACAAGCCCTGATGTTTCAAACTAGTCTAGGAAGCCCAGTAGTACCCTTATTCCCTTTTTGTAGTCCTAGGTTCCTTATAAAGTTACCCAATACCAAAAAAAGAGGCCTTCTTATTCTTAGGTTACTGGGTATCCTAGGTTTCTACTTGTAGGGCGCTTGGCAGCCTCAGGACAAGAAAACTCGATCAATTCGCTTGAAGACCCGATGTTGGAAGTCTTTTTTCCTTAACCCTAAACCCTAAACCCTAAACCCTAAACCGCTGTTTGTGGTGTTGGAGGGTTCCGGGCTGTTGGGTTCTTGCAGGCCTGTTTGGCAAAACCATGTCAGAGGGACCCCAAACACGACATAGGCGAAGTAATTTCAGGGTCCCTAAACCGGGTTTACGGCTTTCTCCATCCTCCAGTAACATCACCTCGTGCTTGACGTTTCTGGGTGTAGGGTTTATGGGTTCTGGGCTTTAGGGTTTTTGGGTTTAGGGTTCAGGCTTCAAGCCTTAGACCGCACTACCTTTGCCTGCTGTTGCTGCAATGGTTTGCTAGCACTGTTGTCCTTATTGCGACAAACACCTCCGCGGTTGTCATTGCTGTGGTTGATATTCATGTCGTGTGCTTCTGGTCAGAAGTTTGTGCACGCCATCCTGTGTCGACGGCTCCCTGTCACTATCTGTACAACCTGCTGTCATCCAAACCCTGAGCCCTAAAGCAAAATCCAATATCCACCCGGATTCCGACACTTCGTTTTTCATTCCCGGTCGCGCCTCGAAGCAGCCTCTACGGCCTCGAACCCGGCCCAGTATGTTTTCCACAAGAGGGCATCCAAAAGATCCCCCCCTGCCCGAAGCTGAAAGAAATCTCCCCGAGACCCCAAAGCTATAAACGCCCCCTTGAAAGAGTGCAATGCATTAATTCATTAATTGAAGCCTGTGCAAGTCACGGTCTGAAAACATAGACGCCACGAAGATCCTTCAAACTGGCTTTAGATAGGGTTTAGTTCCCCTGGCGCACAAGGAGATTCCACCCTAAACCCTAGGCCCTAGACGTTACACCCGAGCAACTCATATAACCCTAAACCCTAAACCCTATAGCGCCCTCAACCCGAAGGCCCGTTAATTTCACTTCGACTCCTACAAATATTGCGAAGCGCCAGAGAACCACCCCTAAACCCTAAGCCCTCTAAAGCCCTAAACCCTAAAGCCCTAATTAAAGCCCTAAACCGTAAACCCCTAAACCCTAAAGCCTTAAACCCTAACCCCCCTTCCCCCCAATATTAAAGGGCTCCCCCCCTTCCCTAATATTCAAACTGGATTTCGGAGGTTTAGTTTTTATATTAGAGGGGGTTTCGGTTCGGTGCATCCACGTATGAGTGGCGTTGACAGGAATTAATTCGTGAGCACAGTCACCTCGAGCCCCAAACCCTAAAGCCCTGAGCCTTAAACTTTAAGCCCTACAGCCCCAAGCCCTAAAGCTTTAGCCCTGAGCCCTAAACCCTTAGGGTTTAAAGCTCTGCTGTCTTTAGCACAGCTGTAATCTTTGGCTCTATTAAAACTCATACAATCCTAGCCCCCTGCCCCCCTAATGTTTTTTAATTGACTTTAAATTAGCGACACTCCGGTGGCCGGGAGTTTTTATATTAGGGAGGGGTTTAACAATAGGGGGAAGGGATTCAACCCTAAACCCCTAAACCCTAAACCCTAAACCCTAAACCCTAAACCATAACCATAGCACCCATGTCAGCCCCCAGGCCCGACCCCCGACAGAAGCCTTTCTTAAGAGACCAAAGAAGCCCTTTCTTAGGGTTTAGGATTAGGGTATAGGATTTGGGGTTTAGGGTTTAGGGTCTTAAGAGACCTCAGAAGCCTCAGCTCCTTCCCCCCTAAGCATCCTGAACCCCGAAACCTTGAATCCTAAGTGGTAAGCCCTTAAAACCCAAACCCTCAACTCCTAAACCCACAGCTGCCCCAAAAACCCCAAACCCCTAATCCCCTAAACCCTAAAACCCTTCAAACGCCAAAACCCCAACCCTAAACCCCAAAAACCCCAAACCCCTAATCCCCTAAACCCTCCCAAGAAACCCAAATGCAAGCGAGGCAGGATCTCTTCTATGACTCCCAGCCCGAGGAGACCCTCGTCTTCTGGGTTTAGGGGTCTAGGGGCTTTTGGGTTTAGGGCTTAAGGGTTTAGGGGTTTAGGGCTTAAGGGTTTAGGGTTTTGGGGCTTAAGGATTTAGGGTTTCAGGGTTTAGGGTTTAGGGTTTTGGGGCTTAAGGGTTTAGGGTTTAGGGGTTTAGGGCTTAAGGGTTAGGGTTGAGGGTTTGAGGGTTTGGGATGAAGCTTAGAGAGCTCCTACCTATATCGCAGCCCTAAACTTGAAAGCTGTCTACCACGAGCACCAGAAAGTTGGAACATAGGTTGGGATAATAATGTTCCAACTTTCCAGCTTCCACTATAGTGTTTTCTCGGGCTGTGGGTTCCTAAAGTTCAGATCTGGGTTCCTTCATATTACTCTTGAGACCTGAATAAATGAATAAGAACGTCGCGCTAGGGGTATTAAACTATAGTTGCAAGTTCTAACCAGGAGCAGTATACGATGATAATGGTCGTTTTTCAGGCCCCTATACGAGACGTTCCTTCATGAGATGCTACCCTTCCCATACAACATTGAAGCCAAGTTTTGGGACTTGGGAATGCGGCTTGGCCCCTTGTTAGGCTTAAGGTTTAGGGTTTTCGTATGGACTTCAAGTTCGGCGGACCCCGCCTCTGTGGTCTAGGGCTTCTGGCTCGCATGGGTGTTCTATCCTTCTTACATTGAGAAGATACGGGCCTTTTTCAAGACAGCTCAGCTTGCTTTTCCGAGACCGTGGGAGATTGTTTCACATCCGACAGTTTGGGGGTTCCTAGCATCCCTGTTACACGGGGCTTTGATTATATACATAACTATATGTACACATATGTATATGTATACATACTCCAGGTGTAAGACAAGTGTCGGACCAAACTAGTAACAGTGACCTCTCACCGTTAACGTACCCGAGACCCTGTGCAACGGGCTCAGGTGCTAAATGTCAAATCTGCGTGCTTTTTGTGCTTTTACTTGCGGTCTGTTGGAGCCAAAGCTTCATCCCAAACCCTGATACCCAAACCTCAAACCCTACAACCTCAACCCTCAACCCCAAACTCTAAGTTCCACCTATCCAAGGCTTCCCTGGATCCGCACGGAGTGCGTCATTGACACCGTTCAGGCATGTCAGACAAGGTTTTTAAGGGTTTCAGCGTGCTTCGGTATGGTTTGATCAGTTTGTTAAGGGTTTGTTGTGCATATCTATTTAGTTTTGTAGGCGTTTCCGGGCGATTCAATTGGCTTGGCTGGCTTTTTTGAAGGGCTTACAGTATAGTGTGTCGAAAACTTGGTGCCGACTAAGCTACAACTGAATAGGGGTTACAGGGGAGTAGTGCCGATTTATGAACCCTTCGCACAGATAATAAAATGAAAATCGGGATCGCAAGAGTGCCTCCAGAAGCACCTCCAACCACATTTATTGCTCGAATAGCATGATACACATGGGTAGTTGACAAACTTATGGCCCCTTTTTTAATACCTGCAACAAAGATTTAATAAAGCCTATCTAAGGAAGTCTAGCCCCCTACCTTGCTAAGCGTCCCTATGATTAACAAACTTCAAGGGTTCAGTTTCGTAATTCCCGGCCGAAATCTCCCCGTAAACATGACACGGCCCAGGCTGCCGCCTACCTTGGCCAGGCTGTCGTCTTCCTGTACAAGGCGAGACTTCGTGCGGTGCACACTCTTTTGGGGTTTTACTGGGCTTTGGAGTACCATACTTTAATACTTTTTGGGGACTTGATACTGAAAGGGAACCATTATGAAATAGAGGTCTATACTTTTTTCTCCCTGGTTACTTCAAAGCCCAGTTTAGGGTTAAGGAAGCTGCTGGTGGGGTTGGGGTTCCAGCTAGCCCTAAAGCCTATTCTCTATACGGTCGTTGTACACTTACTCTATATTTCCTATATTTCTAAACATAGTCGAAGCCCTGTACTGAATACCCTAGAATTCCCAAAGCTTATAACCGGAGCCCGAAACCTTGCACCGAATGCCGACTTGAAAGCCTGTCCCCCTAAATATAATTCTTTCGCGCGGCGAGGGTGCGACCCAACATCTTCCATATCCAAAGCCCTTCATGCGTTACAGGTGCCTGAATCGTAGAATTCCTTTGGTTTTTGGGCTAAATACATGAGGCGATTTTGGTCTCGAATATACATTTGGGGGCTAGAAGGTGCATTTCCACTATTATGCCGATCCCCATATTGGATCTCTGTGTAAACTAGGAACATACTGCACTCACCACTTATAAGAAGGAGATACCAAGGAGCCCAGATCCTTCCGTGACGAAACACTCTGGTAACGAAGGCTCCACCAACTCCCTGATGCCCTGAAACAGAACAAAACTGTCTAGGGTTTAAACCCTAAACCCCTAAACACCCAAACCCTAAACCCCTAAACCCTAAACTCCTAAACCCCCAAACCCTAAACCCCTAAATCTTAAACCCAGGGGTTTAGGGTTGCTAAACCGCCCAAAGCAACTTGAAGCCCCGAATTTTAGACTCAGGTTTCAGCAACCCGAAAGCCCAAAGTTCTAAAGCCGTAAACTCGGCATCCTCAATCCAGCGATCGGGGTTTAGGGGCTGGGGGGTTTAGGGTTTAGGGTTTAGGGTTTAGGTTTTAGGGTTTAGGGTTTAGGGTTTAGGGTTTGGGGGTTTAGGGTTTGAGATTTCAGGGTTTAGCCTGTGGTCAGGCCATTGACTATGATGGCCTTGAGTGCCCGAACAACTCGCCTGTGGGCTGCGCCGCCAGCGTGGCAGGTTGCATGCTGCTGGATAAATCGGAGGAACCCCAAACCCCAAAGCCTAAACGGATGTGGGGCTTTGCATTAATAAAGTTAACCGTCTAGGGAATTAACTTCGGATTTCGGTTTATGACTTAGGGTTTATGATTAGGATGTAGGGTTTATTGCTTGTGGCTTTAGGATTCAGGTCGTAGGATCTAGGGTTTAGGGTCCCAAGTCATGGTGAGACACTCTGTAACCCATTCCGGCATCTTTCTTCATTGAATTAAGGCAATTAAGGTCGCTCCCTCGTCCTCTTTAACCTTAAACCCATCCGTCAGCGCCTCTTGGAGCTGCATTGTGGCATCGAGACGGTGGTAGTTGCCAGCGCTATCGCACAAGGCACTTTCCACCCGGGGCGCAGTCACCATATCACATTTTATTTTCTTATATAGTGCATTATATACTGTGCATTATTTATCATACAATGTATATATATATATATATATATATATAAATATAAATATATATATATATATATATATATATATATACATACATATATATATATATATATATGCATATATGTATAAATATATATATATACATATATATATATATGTATGTATGCATAGTATTTTATCGCACCTTGCCCTTTTCAGTTGCCAGGGTTCATGTGCGGGCCTCCATGCGCACGAGGGGGCCTCGACGCGCTGTCCCAAGGGAGCTTGCCGTCGTCCTGCTTTCTGTTGAACTCCCCTAAACCCTAAACCCCTAAACCGTAAACCCTAAATTAATTGTAAATTAAGCCTAAACCCTAAACCACCCCGGGCCTTTAAGACAATGTCAATATCATATAAGAAAATGTAGAATGTCAAAAGTACCACTAAAGGGAGCCCTATAGTACCCTTCAAGGGGACCCTGTAGTACCCTTAAGGACTCTTTCGTGGTTCCTTTATGGGCTCAGCCCTGAGCACTGCGCCCGAGACACTGTAAAATACAACGCAGAAAGCAATAACCTGAGAGGTTGGATGCTGCCCCCACTCAATAACCGTTGGATTATATTCATAACTTGGATATTTTAGGCCCTTTATACTAGCCCTATTAGACTGTTACTGTATGGGGGCAGTGTCCAACTGAGAGGCTTCATCCCTAAACCACTAAACCCTAACTTCCTAAAACCCTAAACCTTAAACCCTAAACCCACAGAAAACACTAACCTGAGAGGCTTCATCACCTCCATTTCCTGGATCGCTTCGCAGCTCGTCAGCAGGACTTCTTTGGGCATAGAGCCGAGCACCTGAAGCTCCCGAAGCCTTTAAGGTTTTAAGGTTTCAGGGTTAGGGGTTTAGGGTTTAGGGTTTAGGATTAGGACTTTCGGGTTTAGGATTTCAGGGTTTATGGGTTAAGGGTTCGGGGGTTAGGGTTTAGGGTTTAGGGCTTAAGCCATACGTGATTTCAGTGTAATGGTTTCTGGTTGAGAATTTTTGGGATTGGGGCTTGGTAGGTTTCTAGGGTTCCAACATTATTGCCTACGGCATAACGGCTCCGAGTATGGCAACTAAGTGCGGGACTGCTCTCAGTGACTCAGCTTCCATCAGTACATATGGGTAGTTCTCTAAAATTATTAATGTTAACTAAGGTTACTCTGGTTGTAAGTAGCCATGATGCCCCGAGCACCCAGAAAACTCTATAAAACTATAACTGCGTATAAACGCCCATACTTAGTATGGGCACTCGGGGCCGTTGCACCATGCCGAGTGTGGAGTCTAGAGTGAGTGCATGCCAGGTTTCGGCTTATAGGATCTTTCCGGTGTAGGGCTTTAGAGCTTCAGGGTTTTACGTTTCATGGAAAAGAGTACAGTAACGAAAAATCCCAAACTCCTACACTCCGAACTTCGGTGCCCACGACCTGAGGTACCTGTCCTTTGCGGCCAACGCCTGCGGTCAGGCCACACGAACTTGAGAGCAGAAGCTGCGAGGTTTGGTAGTCGTAATCAACAGACTCCTTCGCGTTTGGGGCTTTTGTGATTGCCCCTCGCGTTTAGCTTTAGGGTTTACGGGTTTAAGGGGTTTAAGGGGTGTAGGGCCCTTAATGGGTTTAGGGTGTAGGGGTTTAGGGTTTAGGGGCCCTTCTGAGTATCTTGAGAGTCCTACTATAGGAGAGGCTTTTAAATGTTGAGCCTGTGGGTGCTGGGTTTGGCGAAGATGTTCTTCGTGGAGTTCAGGATGTGATCCTGGAAGTACAGCCATTTTTACGGGTACTTCAACCCAATAAGGAATAGAAAATCTTTAATACCCTCCCGACCCACGCCCCAGATGCAAAGGCAAGACAGCGCGCCAGTGCCGAAACACTCCGTTGCCGCCATCCCATGTCGAACCCCAAACCTCGACCTAAACCCCTAAACCGCTGTGTCCGCAGCAAATACACAGCTTCTGAAAGCTCAACGCGTTTCTTTAAATTCCAGTAAGATGTAACGTAGTTAAGACTACGCAGACGCGCGCAGAGCCTTTTTCGGGAAATGTCGCAAATGCACATCGGCCTGAGGTGGAGTCTGCCCGTACGTACAGTCAATCGTCGGCTAAGTTGACCATTGCAGTGCGGGGACAAAGCATGCCATCACCCGTCGAACTTCAAGACGGCCTCGTAGGTCCTAGGTTTTTTGTGGGTGCTACTGAGGTATCAGGAGTGGGTCCAGTCAGATGAGGCGATGTCCTTGTTGGAAATGTATGCCCTTTCGTGAAGCGGACAGCTTGGTTGTCCCCACAAAATTTGGCGGCTCTCCCTCCCGGAGTTCGCACACCTAGTTTTGCCAAGTGTAAGTGCGCATCTCTCTTCTTGACGGAAGTGGAGGATCCATCACTTAGTGTTTGCGGGCAACCGCTTGACAAACAAACGACTACATTCTATCATGCGATGAAGTTCTTGGCGAAACGTCACGGCATTGAACTCCAATTTAGCAGGTCTAACTCTTTGGCGGTTTACGGTTGCCACGAGATGGTTCCTAGTCCGTCTTTAGTGCCATGCTGCCTCAGACCGGCGTGGCAGTCACCGGTCCGTTCGTTGTTAGGTGCTTGGAAAGATTCGAGTGCCATGAGAATGTTTTTTGCCCAAATAAGGAGCCTATGGAGTGTCAAAAATTAGCATACCTGTCCACACAAGAGGTGTGAACAATTCTTGTAAGGCTGCTCGGTCTCGTCGCCGTGCGAATGCAAGCTAGTTCGTAAGTTGTACATCTAAATCTTCTAGAAAAGGATCCGTCGCTCTCGCTCGGATGGTCTGCTGATTGCTTGCATAAACTCCTAAACCCCTAAACCCCTCAACCCTGATCCCTAAACCCTAAACCCTAAAACCCTAAAACCCCTCAACCCTAATCTTCGGTTCCTCAAGCCCCTAAACGCCTCAAGCCCTGAAGCCGGAACTCGAGACCGAAAAAACCATAAAAGCCCTCGACGAGGCTGTCAACAACGGTGCGCTGTGTGCTGGCGACTTCACCGCGCTCATGGCCAACTTCGGCGAGAGCTTCGGAAACAGTTAAACACCAAACCTTTGCGCCGGTTTTGTAAGGATTTGGGAATCTAAACTGTGCGGAGCCTGGGGTTCAAGGTTATCGGAGGAAACATTTGGGGTCAGGGTTAGAGGCTTTCGGTTGAAGGTCAATACGGTCAGTGGTCGTAATCTGTTTAAACTCTGCTACGCACTGTAAACTCAACCCTGAAACCCGAAGCCCCAAACCCCAAATTAGGGTTCGGGGTTTGACAGTATTGTTCCGGCAAGGCAAACCACTTGATCACAGAAAAGCGCCCTTCCGGCAGGCCCCACTCAGTTACTTTATTGTTAGGCACAATACCTATCGAGTCTAACGAACGAACCAATTGCTTGCTCCTCATATGAATTCAAGCCCTCTGATGACTACATCAAGCCTATACCCTCAATCGAAGCTCACCCACTCTCTCTGTCTCTGTCTGTCTCTCTCTCTCTCCCTCTCTGTCTCTGAGTCTCTCCCTCCCTCCCTCCCTCCCTCCCTCCCTCCCTCCCTCTCACATACGTATAGTTACCTTGCCTATACCCCTACTTGATGTTCTTATTATTGCACCTATCTTCATTCTATTCTTGAGTCGTATCGTCGCCGTCGTGGTGTTGATGTTGGCGTTCGTGTTGGTGGTGCTGGTGGTGGCTAGCGCGAAACCCTAAACCCTAAACCGTGGTTCTCCAATGACCTTTACTTAGATCCCCAATACCTAACCTTTAAACTTTTCGGGCTCTTATAGTTTAGTAGGAATTTTCGGGCTCTTATAGTTTAGTAGGAATTTTCGGGCTCTTATAGTTTACTAGGAATCTGAAAGTTTGACCTTTGATTTCTGCGGCTTATTGGGGTAGTAAGTTTACGGAAGAGCCCAGGATCGCTACCGTGGGCGCTGCTGCACGTGCGGACTGCAACTTCGGCAAGAACGCCCTCCAGAGCCTTAGTTGCAGAGTTGGTGTTCAGGGTTTCGGATGAGGGAGTCTCCGAAAATAGGGGAGCCTAATATAGTATCCTGAAGAGTAGGATCCCTAGTTGCAGAGAATATGGGAGCCTAATATAATCTAACATAGTACCCTAAAGAGTTGGTGTTGCAGAGTTGGTGTTTACAGTTCCGGTAAAGGTTTAGGGCTGTGGGTTTACCGGTTTTAGTCTTCTAAAGCGCTCAGCCCTGAAGCAAGGTGGGGGCGACAGAACTAGGGAAAGGTCCTTGGTAGCAGAGTTTGCAAATTTCAGGCTGCTTGGGTTGATGGCTTATGGGTGTTTACGGTTTCGAGTCTAGGGTCGAGGTTGTAGGGGAAACAGTCTTCGGGCATGTAACCCCTTGAAATGATCCCTGAATGGGGGGCCGGTTGACCAAATGATCCTCACCCTAAACCCATTAAGACTGAAAGCAAGCCTTGAAGCTAAAGCCACCCGGATACCCAGTTTTGAGGGATCTCCTTTGCCGAACTTCAAGAAGTCAGTAGTTTAGCTCTCCTAAAGACCTTCCGAATCCGATGGACGCAGGATCCTCACGCGCACGGAGACGATCTCCCCTCCCTGGAAGCAGTTCGTTCCCGCGGGAGCCTCTCCGGCGGTCGAGAAGGCCTTGAAGATCAAGGGGCCCCTGGGCCCGTTCTCGAACAATCTCTTTTCGATTTTCCGGTTCTGGTTTTTGTGCCGAGGGTTTCAGAGTTTAGGGTTCAGGATTTCCTTCACTTTACGATTTGGGGATGTAGGTTTGAATGTTTAGCACCAACAGAAGCGCATAATTTGTGAACTGGCCTCCATGAAGAGCCCAGGCACAAGGACCAGCAGCGCAACCGCGACTACGACATCGTGCAGTGCGCCGTTGACGTCACCAACTCTGTCGCCCGCTCGACAGGTATACTTTTTGGGGTTAGAGGGTTTGAAGGGTTTATCGCCTGTCTTGTAAGGATTTCGTAGAGTAAGCGTCCTGTCGTTGGATCGTTATAGTGACGATCCTACTGTTTAGGGTCCACATTACGGTCTCGCATTCTCTGCAACTCCTACTCAGCAACCTTCGCCCCCCCCACCCCCCACACCCCCCCAAAACGCAGCACTGAACCAATCCAAACCTAGACCTCAATAGCCGTCAATAGCCTTAAACCTAAACCTTCAACAGCCCCTGACAGTTCCAACCTTGCACCGTTTTGATTTTTCGATCTCAGGGTTTCCTCAAGGCCTTGATAAAACTTAACTCGTAAATTCGGCGCTTCACAGGTCTAGGGTTGGGAGTTCAGTGTTTAGGCTCCGAAATCCTAAACCCTAAACCCTGACCCATAAACCGTAAACCCTAAACCCTAAACCCTAAACCCCTAAACCCCTAAACCCCTAAACCCTAAACCCTAAACCCTAAACCCCTAAACCCCTAAACCCTAAACCCTCCGTAGCCATTTTGGCTCAAGCACTTCCGAGCCTGCCGCTCCCTGCCCGTGGGCTCAGAATCTGCACTTTGTTCAGTGGCAATGGCTACTGGATATCTCCCATTGCGGCTCAACGCCTATGGCGATGTCACGACATCAACACTGGCTGAGCCACCACGTGCCTGGCGCACACGCGTCACTGGCGCACGTGTTGATCTGATGTTTCTTCATTTTGGTATCACTGTGGTGATCACAGCTGTGATCATCCTTTTTGGTGAATACCTTCTTCACCGTGACTCGTCTCACCTGGCGTTGCCTGCTGCTAATGAGGTGCCACGCCTGCTGTCTGCGGCACCTGAGCGTTCTGCCGGGCTTGTTGAGCTTGGCGATGCTGGTACTGTGACACCATATCTTTTGTGGCAGGGGGACCAATCTGTCACTCCTACTTTTGACGGGCTCCTTTCTGATAATCGCAATCCTCCGAGAGCCAGTATCGCGGGGCGCATCATAAGCAGCATGGCCGGTTTGGGGCAGTGCACAGCGCGCCTTGGGCGCTCCGACCACTCAATGATGGGGCTTGGTTTTGGCTTCATCAGGGACGAATGTTTGAGTTCCTCGCAGATCCTGGCAGCTTGCAATGAGCTCACAATCATTTGTCCCGAGCTAGCAGAGTGGGCCGTAAGTGTCTACGCTGCTAATGGGGCCCTCCACAACAAATGGGCCGATCTTCCACAGACTGGTACGTGGTCAGCCTACCAGCCTTATATTCAACGTGCGGCCAGCAAGATGACGCGTAACGTGAGCTTCTACAGCAGCTCATCTTCCTTCAGCTGGTTCAACGGCACCTGGCCATGCGCGACGAGTCATTTGGAGTTTACTGAGACAGGCACTGTGTGGCAGGAGGTCACTGCGAGACGTTTGGGTAGCACAGATAGCGCCCCATCACCACCCCAGCACACTGGTTTTGGTGTGTCATTTGTGTACGACAACGTGCAGTGCGTGGCCATGGCCAAGTCACTGCCATATCTCTCAGTAGGCAGCAATGATGTCACGGCTGACGACAGTCTCAGTCAGTTTAAGAGCAAGTTGAAGAAGCGTTGCTACCCATCCGAAGATGTCACATTTCTTGCTGACACGCCGGAAGATGCCAAGATCTGCTCTGAAGCTTGTTTCGGCTTGCAGGGGGACTCCCATGCCATTGGGCACGGGTGGTATCATGTTGCCCACTCCAATGTCCCCTGCAGTGAATGCCTACATGATGAAGACTTTTGCAGCCCCATCAGGCTAGAGGTCTGCAAGTTGCAACGGCAGGGCAGAGTGTGGAAACACATCTCAGGTATCACCATTTTTAACCTATTGGGCAATTGCTTCTTGCTGGCCCTGTATGTTCTGGGGACGATGGCCTACAGCATTCTGCCAGTCTCAAACATGCAGCGCTATCAGCGTCTTGAAGAGTTTTCGGTAGCTTATGACGTTCTTCGTCTTGTCTTAGCCATTGTTGTCTTGATTTACGTTTTTCTGCTAGTGGTCTTTGGGATATTTATGGGAGAGTTAGCCATACTTTCCTGTGCGCTGGCAGCTTGCGACACCTTGTGGGTAGCAGGCTGCTGGCAGGCCGCCTCACATGCCTGGGCCCTTTTGATCATCATTGCTGGATACACCGCAGCATTCTTCAACAGGCAGTTGGCAGTCGGCGGAGGTGTACGTGATCAAGCAGGGCCAATGGCAATGCTTGTCGGTGGCCTCTTCGCCATCATCATGACCTGGGTGAATCTCACCTGGGGGCAGGCGGTGTAGCCGCCTATCGCCTTAATTAGATGCATGTTTTTGAAATTAGTTTGTGCATTTTTGTTCAAGATCCCCTTGGTGTGTAGGCCCCTTTGCCTGAGGGGGTGAGAGGGCTGTGTTAGAGGAAGGCCTTGGTTTGTCCGGTGGCTGCTGTACCAGTGCAATCAGCTCCGGGTGCTCGCGAAGGTGTGCGGGTCCTGAACTTATCTGTCGGTTGCCTCCGTGCGATCAGGGGCGAGCTGAAGGGCTTGTGTGCGCGATGGGCTCACGACAAAGGGATCGTGGGAGAGAGCCTGTCATTGACTTCCAGGATGCTGCCAATGTGCCGATACCTTCTGAACCGAGCTCCCCAAATAAACGAGGTCCGGAGAGTGAGCCGCCTGGCCGGGCTTCGAAGAAATCCCCGCCGGAGCCACAGCAGGTGGTTCAGGTAGAGATGGGGCAACTGGCTGCTTTGCTGGAGGAAACAGGGCAGAAGATTATGAAAGCACAGCACGAGCACCTTGAAGCTCGAATGGGGGCCTTGGAAGAGCTCACGGGCAAGAGAATGGCTTAAGATGGAATCAGTCGAAGCTCGCCTGGAGGAGATCACCAAACAGCTCCAGCAACGACCAGAGGGTTCGTCGACCACACAAGGACCCGACAGGCGCTTCACGCTGGTGTATGGGGGCTGGCAAAGGGATAGCAGAAGGGACGACATTCTCCATCAGCTCCAGAAAAGCCTGGATACACTGGGTGTGTGGGAGGCGATTGATTTTCCCCCCTTTACCACGGGGCCGAGGCGGAGCACGGCTCTGACTGAGTGTGTTCGCGGTAAGGGGCCAAGAGACGGAGTACGAGGTCAAAAGGCGCATGCACTCGGTGGTCAGGGCCCTGGCGGAGCACGAGGTGAAACTGCCGGGAGGGAAAAGACTCTTCGCTACCTTTGCTAAGAGCAAGGCCGAGAGGATTGTCAGTGGACATGCTGCTTGGATCAAACGCATGGTGGTCGAGGTATGTGGAATGGATGCCGGTCGTCGCCTGGATATGGAATATGCCACAGGTAGTGTCTGGGTCGGCAACAGCTTTGTGGCGAGTGCCAAGACACCGCATCCACCAGGCATCGCCAACCAGGAACTCGAGTGGGATGATGACCATAGCTCTCACTGGATTCACGTTGGTGGGCTCTCCCGGGAGCTTGGTGTTTCGGCGGAGGAAGTGCGCAGAGGGTTGGAGGCGACGCGCCGCTGAAAAAAGATCCAGTGTGAGAGCCCCTCTCATACCGGGGATGTTAATTCGGGGACTTCCTTCTCGCTGTTCAGCTGGAATACTGGTGGAGCGTCGGATTTGAACTATGCTCAATCAGTGTCAGATGTGGTGGATGGGATTTCTCGGGATGCTCTAATTTGTGTGCAGGAAGTTGCTCGCGGAAAACCCGGCTGGCAGCGAACTCACTTTGATACATGGACTGCCACTCTTCATAGGCATGAGGACGTGTGGAGAGGCACAGGACTGATTCACAACACCACGAGGTGGCGCGTGATGCGCCGGAAAATAACAGCAAGGGGTACATGGTTCAGGGTGCGGCATGTGGAGGGGTTCGAGTGTTGGATTGGGACGGCTCACTTTTCTCCAGGATGCACACAGGCGGTTCATGCACAAGAAGTGGAAGATCATTTGAAGGGTCTGCCGGTGACGACCTTGCCGGCTTTCCTAGGATGTGACCTCAATGCACAGATTGGGTGGAACCAAGATGAGTCAGGGGAGTGGGGGCCGTCGGCGTCTAATGGTAAGGCTCTCCAGTTCCTGTCAAGTGGATGTGCTCGAGGCCTTTCCCCGATTGCACCTTCATCAGATCAGATTCGCCTCCCGACGAGCCGACCGAGACAGGGAGGCAAAACCGGGAAGCAGATTGATGTGATTGCAGCAGCCAGGGCAAGGGTGTCGTCAGTTAAAGTGCATGTTGACTCCTGCTATGCAATTGGAACCGATCATGAGCTGTTGGAGCTGAGGGTCTGTATTCCGTGTGCCAGAACAGGAAGGCCATTTGCCACGAAGCCTAGGGTCTGGTGTGGAGGGATTCAGAGGGTCGATTCACCGTTGCAGCAGGATGATTTTGTTCGCCTTGTGAGGGAATGTACCAAGCCCAAACCCAGCCTGGCATACAGGGACAGTGACAGGACGAAGCAGGCATTTCGGCAGGCACGAAGTACCAGGCGGGCATCGGACTGGACGGAGGCACGTCGCATGAGAAAACATGACAGACGCCTGTGGGAAGAAGACAGATTGAAGAGAGCGACCTCAGGAGACTGGCAAGCATATCGATCGCTCAAACCTGAAAGGTATCGGGGGTGGGATGCTGAATTTGCGGAGGCACAACAAGGAAGATGCCCCCACGCAGTCATACATGACCACCTTGAAGCGATTTACACCACGGGAGGGGTCATACCGCCGAGACC